CATGTAAGGGAAAGAGAAGAGCTAGGACATCTGGGGAGCTACTGCAGTCAAGGGATCCCAGACGGAAGAGAGAAGATGGGTGGGTTAGACACACGAAGTCCTGCATCTTGGTAGGGGTTAGACGAGATGAACCTTGCCAGGGGTGGTGACTTATATGGGCCCGTGGTGCCCCGGCTCCAGCAAATTCAGGGCCCTGCACTCCCTGGCCGGCTGCTGCCACTGCAGGGTACAAGGGAGGGGCAGGCTGAGGCGGCTGACGCGCCTGCGGAGGGAGGAGGCACATAGAATCATAGAATATCAGGGTTGGAAGGGACCTCAAGAGGTCATCTAGTCCAACCCCCTGTTCAAAGCAGGACCAATTCCCAACTAAATCATCCCAGCCAGGGCTCTGTCAAACCAGGCCTTAAAAACCTCCAAGGAAGGAGACTCCACCACCTCCCTAGGTAACCCATTCCAGTGCTTCACCACCCTCCTAGTGAAATAGTGTTTCCTAATATCCAACCTGGATCTCCCCCACTGCAACTTGAGACCATTGCTCCTTGTTCTGTCATCTGCCACCACTGAGAACAGCCGAACTCCACCCTCTTTGGAACCCCCCTTCAGGTAGTTGAAGGCTGCTATCAAATCCCCCCTCATTTTTCTCTTCTGGAGACTAAACAATCCCAGTTCCCTCAGCCTCTCTTCATAAGTCATGTGCTCCAGACCCTTAATCATTTTTGTTGCCCTCCGCTGGACTCTTTCCAATTTTTCCACATCCTTCTTGTAGTGTGGGGCCCAAAACTGGACACAGTATTCTAGATGAGGCCTCACCAATGTCGAATAAAGGGGAACGATCACGTTCCTCGATCTGCTGGCAATGCCCCTATTTATACAGCCCAAAATGCCGTTACCCTTCTTGGCAACAAGAGCACACTGTTGACTCATATCCAGCTTCTCGTCCACTGTGACCCCTAGGTCCTTTTCTGCAGAACTGCTGCCTAGCCATTCGGTCCCTAGTCTGTAGCAGTGCATGGGATTCTTCCGTCCTAAGTGCAGGACTCTGCACTTGTCCTTGTTGAACCTCATCAGGTTATTTTTGGCCCAATCCTCTAATTTGTCTAGGTCCCTCTGTATCCGATCCCTACCCTCTAGTGTATCTCAATACAGACTCCAGCACCCAGGGGCGAAAGCAGTGACGTCTCAGGGATCTGACTGAGCAGGGCTGGCACCCAGCAGGCCCCACAGCTGCTGTCTGCCCTTTAGCTCCCACGCTGAATTATTTAGAGCAGATCAGATACCCTGGTTCATGGGCACCTGACAAAGGTTAACAACACTGTTGTCGGTACCATGGTGGTTTGTTTTCAGACTGTTCATTCCACTAATGACAGCTTAGCCATCAAGGCCAAGCCAGGCGTAAAACTGGAATCTCCCTGCCCATTCACACAACATTTGTGGTGGTGGCGGCCAAAGCTTCATGTCCTCCAGCCTCGAGAGCTGGAAGGGAAGGTTCAAGTGCAGCAGGGGGTAAGGGGCTCTGAATTATTGCTGACGGGACACTGTGTGTTCGATAGAGCAGCTCCAGGGCTGAGACGGACTGGAGAGCTCAACTCCCTCCCTATTCTATTCGGATTCTTATACCACACTCATCTCTGTAGTATCTGAGCACCTTGGATCAGGTTGGAGGGGCAAAGACAAGTAGCAATCTGTGAGGGAAGGGAAGCCTGTTCCGGTGCTGCCTGTTCTAAGGCTAAGTATCCTAGGGCTGTCAATCTGGCACTTACCACCAGGTCTAAATTCAAATTAATTTTCTTTTACGTGACATAGAATACCAGGGTTGGAAGGGACTTCAGGAGGTCATCTAGTCCAACCCCCCTGCTCAAAGCAGGACCAATCCCCAGACAGATTTTTGTCCCAGATCCCTAAATGGCCCCCTCAAGGATTGAACTCACAACCTTCGGTTTAGCAGGCCAATGCTCAAACCACCGAGCCATCCCTCAGAGCATATAGTAGATAACACACTGCCACTGCCAGCAGATCAGAATGCAGTAAATTCAGGATGCTGTTGGAAAATCCAGTTCTGGCGATAAACAGGCAGCTTTGGGTCAAGGTGGAACAGTGCAAGTGAGGACTGTAGTTTCTACAGGCCCCATCTACCCACTCAGAACAAGGTGCTGCATTGCACAGTTTGATCTGTTGTTGCCACGGAACGCAGTACAGCATTACAAATGTATAACTTAGGGGCAGCTTTTGAACACTGAACAGGGAGACAGAGGCTTACGTTCTATTTCTGGCTCTGCTACTAACTTCTGAGCAACCATTGGCAAGTCACTTCCCATCTCTGTGCCTCAATTTCCCTATTTCTAAATGTGGGGAATAAAGATATTGTCTCATCTTTGCAAAGTAATACAATGTAAGGATTAAATATTGTTGTCTATTTAAATCTATCCTGACATTACCTAATCTGTCTTTCCTACTTTTAACTATATCTAAATCTACCCATTCCAGCTTTACCTACCCACCTACCTTTCTATTCCTCTGAGCTCTGTCCAATCTATCTGTCCGTCCAAACTTTATTCCATCTACCAGTTCATCCCAAATGTACTTTAGTTAATCAGTCATCTAT